GGTAGGCTGCTTTTGTTACCTTCTGTCGAGTTGCCTGTTTTCCTAAGCCTGCATCTGAACGTCATCTTTCTCCTAATGGGAACGTCTTCTTGAGCACTCTCTCTGGCAGCTCCCTGCCCCAGCCAGTCCAAGACTATTTTTCCCCCAAATAGAACTCTGCATCCCCATCCAATCTCCCACCTAACTTATGGGATAACTCTAGTTCTCAGCTGACCTGCCCAGGAGAAATGGTCAAATACCTTGATCTTGGCACCCACTTATCACATCTCGCCCAGCTCAGGTCACCAACCTCATCAATTTCCTCGGAAGACTTCTGACTCCTCTCTTGAATGTCTGCCCCTCTGGAATATTATCTCTGTAGATTATTCTATGACATGGCATTATAGATTCAATAATAATAAGACTACAGCGAAAGAAGAGTTATTTTCTCCCAAATTATATTTTCTCTAAATTACCAAAAAATTGGGCTACTCTTGCCATTTTGAATTTCTTCTAAATGTCTATGGCTATCAGGCCTTCATTAGTACAGCCTGATTCTCAGCTGGCTTTTAGGAGTAGCACTGAGTCTTAGCAAGCTGGCCATTGGTCCCTTCTGCTCCTATGGTCACTGCTGTGTCTTAGCAAATGGCTTCTCCAAATAACTGCTGGAAAGTGAAACAGAACAGTCTCCTCCAAAGGAGAAGCAGGTCACAACTCTATCCAGACGTCCTCGAGTTTTCCCCTCACAATGCATGCACACAATATCCCCATTTAAGCTTACCCTGATAGAAAATAAGTCAGTACTAAAGTCGGTTAAAATTTTTCCTAACCAAGACTGCAGATTTGAGCTTTATGGGGTACAAATCCTTCTCTATGCCTCTCAGCCAGTCCTCACCACCACCCCGTGAGGTGGGCATGGTGGATATTATTATCGCTATTTTACTGATGTAGAAACAGGTTCAGAGAGGTTAGGGAGCTAGACCAACATCACACAGCTATTTAGTTGGAAGAGCCAGCACTCAACCCAGGTCTCCGCTGCCTCATTCACCTTCCTTTTTTTTTTTTTTTTTTAAAAAAAGATATGATTTATCATTTAAACTTATTTATTTATGGCAGTGTTGGGTCTTCGTTTCTGTAAGAGGGCTTTCTCTAGTTGTGGCAAGCGGGGGCCAGTCTTCATCGCGGTGCCTGGGCCTCTCACTATCGCGACCTCTCTTGTTGCGGAGCACAGGCTCCAGACGCGCAGGTTCAGCGGCCATGGCTCACGGGCCTAGCTGCTCCGCGGCATGTGGGATCCTCCCAGACCAGGGCTCGAACCCGTGTCCCCTGCATTGGCAGGCGGACTCTCAACCACTGCACCACCAGGGAAGCCCTCACCTTCCTTTTTTAAGCACAAAGAATATGAACAAGTTTCTCTACTCCCTTTCTCTCTACCCGAACGGCATTCTCCTTTCCTACACAATCTGGAAAGTTCCAAACAGCACAAGGAATGATCGATCATTATCATAGTCCAATGCAGGGTGCGGATGTTGGATCTTTCACAATGTTCCTATTACTTAACATCTGTAGTTGAGCCGAGAACTCTCTCTCCGCACTGAGCAGTGCTTTCTGTGCCGGGATTTGTTAGGATTCCCGGGTGCCAGTTGGGGCACTGGGGATTTTACCTCTAAATTATGCTCAGTGCTATACTTCTCATCCGTTTCAAATTTTACCATGTTCTGTGCCTTCCCACCCCTACCCCTTCACGAGGAAAATTCAGTATGTCTGCCAATCGTCCAGTGCCCGACTCCCCAGGCTTCTTATAGCGTCATGGAAAGCCCTGTGCCTCCTTCATCTTTAGAGCATCTGTGGGATTCTCTTCCTGAATCCAGGTGATATTTCCCTCCAGAAGTTCTCTATTCCTGCCTCAGGGGTGAGCCACTTGACTGCAGCCATTCCACCAGCCAGGCCCTCTGCACGTGGTTCCCATGCGGCTCTGCAAACCTGTTGTTCCAACCTGAAGGTATTTATCCCCTAGAGGCCAGGACCCCCCACCCCCACCCCCTGCCCAGGACATATAAGAATGACACGCGAATTTCACCTCTTTTGTGGCTTAGAGCTGAGCCAGTCTCCTGGAGGCTTATGGTAGGCTGTGTCCACAGTGCCCCCTACTGGAGATTTCCCACAAGCCAAAGTTTTGGACAACCTGGCATTTTCTAGACATCAATTCACTCCACAGGCGTTTACAGAGCACCTACTAGGAGCCGTCACTGTGCTGACTCTGTAGAGAGAGCTGCAAAGAAGACAGACACGGCACCCCACTCGTGCAACTCATCTTAAATCATCTTGTTCCGCAGAACCGCCACTTGGTTTCCAGTTGGTCTGAATTAGTTGGTGAACTCAATAAGAACTTCCCCTGCCTCTGGACACTCCACAATGACCCATCACCCACGGGGACCACCCACGGGGACCACCTGACCTCTGCAAACTTCCCAGGGCAGATTCCTTGGTCAGTCACCAGACAGGACCCTGCTCTGACGACCCTTCCTCCCTGTTGGGTCCTGACTGGCTGGGATTCTCCTCCTGACTCCTGCCTACCCCCACCCCCACCCCCGACCCCTACCCCTGACAGAACAGTCTCACTTATTCTGACACATTCATTCACAAATCCAGTAGTTATTCTTGAGTGTATTTTTCTGCAGTAGTCAAGCATATATGTTATTTAATGGACAGTAATAACTGAAGTAGAAATGTGCATATATGAATAACAGCATGAAATAAAAAGAACCCAATCTCCCCAATCACTATTTACACATTTTGAACCTATTTCCACTCGGTAACTATTCAGACATGCTTTTACCTTGTTGCTATCATTACGTGAACAGAAAGCCAAAATCTTTTTTTTTTTTTTTTTTTTTTTTTTTTTTTTG